CTTCCTCGTCGTCGTCTCCCTCCTCTCCGCCCTTCCTCCCGCCGCATATTCCTCTTCGCCCGCCCCTGGTTTGCGTTCCCCCACTCGCCCCCGTGCGTTGTGTTTCCAGGTAGGGGAAGCCCTCCCCCGTATAATCATAGCTTGAGCTTCAGGTCCAAGGCTCCGTGGGTCCATTTCCCCCTGCGCCCCTTGCGCGCCTTATTTGCGCGCACTTATTCCAACGAAAGAATTGGATCCACGAAGCTTCCACGCCAGAAAAGTGGATCCACAAGACGCGGAAATTGGATCCAAACGATTCTCGCACACACGAAACTAATTGGATCCAGATGGATCCATGCGTTCCCATGCAAGAGGAAAAGACTTTCGGTCTACGGATGTTTGTTGCGCCTGCCGTTATAAAAGGGGCCTTATGCAATGCCCGCCAAAGGTAGGTCGCGCCCTCGTCGAGCACGGAGTCGGCGCCCCACATCCCCCCCCCCCATTCTTCGAATATTAGTTCGAAGACGCGTCCCGTCTGTAGCCGGTGCTGGCGCAATGGTGATCGATGGCTCTGTCGAATTTGGCAGTGGTGGCGGCCGTCGCGCGCGGGGCGTTGCCCTCTCGACCGCCACTTTGACTGTTGGATTTGCTCGGTTTATTGAGCTGTCGGAAGGGCGCCATAGCAGGTCAACTTGTTCTGTCGGGGCTTCGTCATGCGCCCGTCTTCCTTATCCTCTCCAGTGGCGGTGGGAGCGGGCAGTTGCCCCGTTCCGGCGGGCCTCGCCGGTCTGTCGGTCACGCGCAGTGGTGCCCCAGAGGCGCCGCGGGTGGCGCGGGCTGGACCTCGCCCATCGCCGCGTCGACGCCATCAGCTGGAGTCCGATCGGGCTCCACCTGCGTCGGCTGCGTCGTCGCCGTGGCAAGGTCGGTTGGCGCGCTGGCATCCGGCGTTGCCGCAACAATGATGCGCGGTCCGTCTGGGTCGATGGTCGCCCTCATGGTTCTTCGCGCATGGGCGAGTGGAGCTGGGCGCTTGCGCGCCGGCGTCAACGATGAGCCCCTGCCAGGTGTGCCAGTGAGGCGTCGTTCTGGGCTGATAGCTTGTGACGCCATCTGCTCCGTTGGAGCGACGCCGCCACTCCTCCTCGCAATTGGCGACGGGACGTCGATCGAGATGATCACTTGCGTGGGCGAGTCAATGGCGCAATGGGGCGTCAACGTAGATGATCTCTTGCGTGGATGAGTCTATTGGCGACGGGGCGCCAATGTAGATGTTCTCTTACGGGGCGTCAATTGAGCTGGTGGTATCGCGCCGTCGGCCCGCGCTGCAGGCCCGCGACTCTCCTGCCCGACATTCGGAACGCGCGCCGCCTGCGGTGCCCACGATGCACTTGTCGCCCTCGTCGGGGGAAATGCGGCACGTGGCTCGTTCGTGTTCGACTGGCTGCGACGAGACATCCGCGTGCGAGACAACCTCCCTGGCGGCGTCTTCGGCCTGCGACCGCGTGGGCCGCGTCATTCGTCCGCCAGCGGATGCTGCGACATGAGCTGCACCGGCGGTAAGAACTGGCGAAGTCCTCGCCGCGCGCTGCGATAGCTGCGTCGAGGGCCTGCTGGAGAGCGCCCACCACCTCCGCGTAGTTAAGGCCACCGCGGGCTTCATCGCAGTCTTGTCGGGCTTGCCGGCGCACTTCGATTGCCTCCTCGGTGCGCCTCAATAGCCCTCGCTTTCCTCCATTGGGCCTCGTCTTGGCCGTCGATGTTTTCCCGCGTTCCAGGGCGCGACGTTGCTCTGCTACGCCCATTTCCGCCATCTGTTCCATGAGCTGCACTCGCCCTCCAGCTTGGAGCGCGTTGTTGCGCGCCTGCTGCTCGCGCGTGATCACGTCTGCGACTACGCTTCGTAGGTCGTGATCTGCTTGTCGCGCATCCCCGGCGCCCGTGAATGGAACGAGCCGTTCCATGTCGACGACTCGTTGTTGGCGTTCCACTTGTGCATGCTGGATGGTGGCTTCTATGTGCATCTCCTTCTGCCGCAGTCATTCATGGGCCAGCGAGCCTCTGTTTCCCGCGTCGTCCAACTTATTGCACAGCAGAACTTGGCCGTCGCAATCTTTCGCGTGCACCTCTGCCGCCGCTGCTTCTACGCCTCTGCCGCCGTTGCTTCCGCGCGCGCGATCTGCTACCGGCCATGTTGGAAGACGGCTGTCTTTCGTCCGCAATGCACACTGCCAATCCTAGCTGCCATTCCACGTCGGCGCGGTCTCCGTTGCAATCGACGCGCTTCTTTCGCGCATCTTGGAATTCATTCTTCAGCATTTCAATCGAAAGTGCGCGTTGGATGTGCGCGTTGGCCTCTGTCGTTCGCGAGGCCCTTTCCAGCTCCTTTCCGGCCCCCTCGAGGGCCGCCTCCATTCGCATTTACATGTGCTGGCGGTGGGGTGCCATCTGCTCGGTAGTCTGCTTGGCGCTGTCGATTTCGCTCAGGAGCTCGCCGTGGTACCCTGGTGCCCTGGCTGCTTCTGCATATCGGTCGCGCCCATGTTTTGGTGGGCGGCTTCTTCTGCCTTTCGGAGGTGGTCTCTAAGGGCGTGGACCTCGTTGTTGGAATCGGTCCTCTTCCTCTTGATGTCGTAGGCCATACGCTGGTTAGCCTCATTGGCAGTCCTGAGCAAGGTGCCGAAGTCTTGATCGTCTGTAGTCTCCCCGGCACTCGTTTGTCTCCTTGGCGCAGGGGTGAGGATCCTGTTTTTTGTGTAATACCTCGTTTTGTGGTTTGTCGGCCATGTAGTCGGCAGCCTCGTCGTCGCTGTACTGGTCGCCCCTGGCGTTGCGAATGGCCCGCTGGTGCTCCTCGGCATGCATCTCTAGCTCGTCCACGTAGACCTGTATATTTCCTAAGCGGGTCTTGGCGCGTTCGTAGTAATCCTCCACGGTCTGCTTCGTTGTCTCGATCTACCTTGTCTGTTGGGCCAGTGACATACTGTTGCGGATGAAGGCCTTGATGAAGGCGATCTGCCCCACGGCATTAGGTCGTCCTGGTGCACCATTTGTGGCACTGGCCGTTGCGGACCACCTCATCTCGATGTCCTTGATATTATTACAATCGCCCGTTTGCTCGGGGTCGTTGGGTGGTAGTTCCGAGTCGTGCCTCCTGGTAGCGTAGATCCCCCCCATGGGCACGACGTTGCTGATGGTGTTGGCGATTTGGTCGTTGTAATTAATGTCCTCCTTCTTTTGTCGCGTTTGTTCTCCATGAGGTTGATGTTTGGTCAGGCCCCTGCCCCTGTTGAGCTTATCCTTGCATTTCGGGGTCCAGTTGTCTGGCTCATTAACGTCCTTTGTGGTCCTTCGGTCTTTTTCTACCGTTGTCATTGTTGCCCTTGCCGTTCTGGCTGTGGCTCCACTTCTTGTGAGGGTGTTCCTTGGCCCGCTGGTCCGTCCAGTGGTGGATTTTGACGCGTGAGAGGCTCGCTCCACTTGCCGGCGCAGTGGGTCTCGGCGTAGTTGGTCTTCTTCGTGGAAGGCTCGGTGTTGTTCACGATCCGCTTGCAGGTGCGCTCCATGACGTCACCATAGTCTGTTGGAGCTTGTGGTGCATGTCGCGGTGGTTGCTGGGCACTTCGGTGATCAGCGGAGAGCTGGCGTGCTGTGTAAAGCTGGCGCTAGATTTCGTGGCCAATAAGTAATCGCGCAAAGGCGACTTGTAGCAGCACTCGCGTTTTCGCTCGCTGTTCGCGTACCCGGCGGTGCCACGCTGGATTAATCGACGAAGTCTTGGCGCCCTGAAGGGAACAGGATGTAGTCGAAAAAAGAAGATCAAAGGTATGGTTTGGAAACGGATGTAAACTGAAAGGGAGAGAGGACGGGTTTACGGCCGAGGCTGAACCCGGAAGGCTGGCACGTTGCCGCGGGCTTCTTGCCACCAGGCTCTCCTCCTCATCCTCCTCATCCTCCTCCCTTTCCTCCTCACCTTGCTTTTCCTCCTCCTTCTATCCCCACTCCTCCTCCTCCTCCTTCTCCTCCTCCTCTTCCTCCTCCTCCTATTCCTATTCCTCCTCTTCCTCCTCGTCCTCCTCCTCCTCCACCCTCGTGATACTCATCATCCTGATCCTCTTCCTCCTCCTCCTCCTCCTTACCATCATCGTCCTCTTTACCCCCCCCTTCCCTCCTCACATCCGCAAGGCCTTCGGTGGCACCTCGAAACATCCCCCGAGGACTCCGGAGGCCGACACGAGCACAGATTACGCCCTCGACCCCCGCGCACTCGACCCTCGGTCCTGGAACCTCCCCCCCTTGCCTCCTCTTCCTCCTCCTCCTCCTCCATCCTCCTCCCTCATCATCATCATCATCATCATCATCATCATCATCATCATCAGCAGCAGCAGCAGCAGCAGCAGCTGCATCATCAATATTATCATCATCATCACCATCATCATCATCATCCTCATCATCATCCTCATTATCATCACCACCATCATCATCATCACCGCTACCACCACCATCATCATCATCAGCATCATCATCATCATCATCATCATCATCATGTTCATGTTCATGTTCATGCTCATCATCATCATTCCTCTTGCCTCGCCCTCCTCCTCTTCCTCCTCCCCCTCAATGTCACGTTTCCTCCTTCTCCTCCCCCTCCGCTTCCTCCTGCAGCCGGACCTATTAGACAAAGGACATTGTCCAATAGTATGAGCCGAAGACACTCCGCCGGCCAAAGCACACAGAGCATCCAAGGGTGCCCTACCCAGAATGCATAAGAACATCCAGCAATCACAAAGATCATCAGGGCATCTTTCTCGAAACGACCTCGATCTTATACCTCGGTCCGAATGTGCCCCTCCGGAAGAAGAAGCAACTGCAAGACAACTGTCCCGAGGAGGCGCCGCGGGTCCGGCTCCGATGAATGACATCCGTGTAGCCTCCGAGTGCTCATGTTTGTGCGGTCGGTTCTTCTTCGATCCTCCGCCTCTGCCTCCTCCCGTCTCCTGTCCCTTCCCTGCCCGCGGTGCCTGATCTCCCTGGAGGCCCCGAACTCCTCGAGGCAGATGTGGCACTCCAGCGGCGCGTCCTCGTCCGAGGGCACACTCCACCGGAGAGACGGGGGGGACAAGCAGGAGCCTCACAAAAGGCATGCCCGATAGGCTGCCCTCCCCTTCCCCGTCTGCGCAGAAATGGAAAAACGGCACAAGCACAAGTTTTCAGAGGTCCACGAGGACTTCTTAGGTCGGTGCTGGATCCTGGCGCGCTGCGCGCGACAGGGAGAGGAACCCAGCAACAGTCAAAGAAATCCGCTCGGAACTTCGAAAGCTTGTGTCAATGCCGTTGTCGTCGTCGTCCTCGTCGTCGACATTGCCGTCGTCGTCCTTGTCGTCCTCGTCCTCGTCGTCGTCCTCGTCGTCGACCTCGTCGTCGTCCTCGCCATCGTCCTCGTCGTCGTCGTCATCGGCGTCATCGTCGTCGTCGTCCTCGTCGTCTTGTCGTCCTCGTCCTCGTCCTCGTCGTCGTCGTACTCGTCGTCGTCGTCGCGGACGTCCTTGTCGTCGTCGTCCTCCTCGTCGTCCTCGTCGTCGTCCTCCTCGTCATCCTCGTCGTCGTCATCCTCGTCATGCCGTCATCGTCGACGTCCTCGTCGTCGTCGAAGTCCTCGTTATCGTCGTCCTCGTCCTGGTCGTCGTCGTCGTCGTCCTCGCCGTGGTCGTCGTACTCGTCGTCGTCGTCGTCGTCGTTATCGTCGTCGTCGTCCTCGTCCTCCTCGCCGTCGTTCTCGCCGTCCACGGCATCAACGTCGCCGTCGTCCTCGTCTTCGTCGTCGTCCTCGTCGTCGTCGTCCCCGTCCTCGTCCTCGTCGTCGTCCTGGTATCCTCGTTCTCATGCTCGTCGTCGTCGTCCTGCTCGTCCTCGTCGTCGTCCTCCTCCTCGTCATCGTCGTCGTCATCCTCGTCCACGTGCTCGTCCTCGTCGTCCACGTCCTCGTCCTCGTCCTCGTCCTCGTTTTCGTCCGCGTCCTGGTCGCTGTTGTCGTCGTCGTCCTCGTCATCGTCGCTATCTTCGCCCTCCACGTCAACGACGTCGTCGTCGTTGTCGTCGTCGTCGTCCTCGTTAACGACGTCGTCGTCGTCTTCGTCGACGTCGTCCTCACCGTCGTCCTCGTCCTCGTCGTCGTCCTCGTCGTCGTCCTCGTCGTCGTCCTTGTCGTCCTTGTCCTCGTCGTCGTCATCCTCCTCGTCGTCGTCGTCCGCTTCCTCCTCCTCCTCCTCTTCATCGTCCTCGTCCTCGTCGTCCTTCTCGTCGTCCTCGTTGTCCTCCTCCTCGAGATCGTGGTCGTCGTCGTCCTCGTCGTCGTCGTCGTCCTCGTCGTCCTCGTCGTCGTCCTCGTCGTCGTCCTCGTAGTCGTCGTCCTCGCCGTCGTCCCCCTCGTCGTCGTCATGGTCGTCGTCGTGGTCCTCGTCGTCCTCGTCGTCCCGGTCCTCGGCCTGGCCCTAGTAGTCGTCGTCGTCGTCGTCGTGTTCTCTGTCCCCGTCGTCGTCATCGCCGTCGTCCTCGTCCTGGTCGCTGTCGTCGTCGTCCTCGTTAACGACGTCGTGGTCGTCGTCCTCGTCGTCGTGGTCGTCGCCGACGTTGGCGTCGTGGTCGCGTCGTCGTTCTCGTTGTCCTCGTCGTCCTCGCGGCCCTCGTCTTCGTTCTCGTCCAGCTCGTCGTCGTCCTCCTCTTCGTTGTCGTCGTCGTCGTCCTCCCCCCTCGTCATTGCCGTCGTCCTCGTCATCGTCGTCGTACTCGTCGTCCTAGTCCTCGTCCTCCTCGTCCTCGTCCTCGTCGTCGTCCTCGTCCTCGTCGTCCTCGTCGTCGTCGACCTCGTCGTCCTCCTCGTCGTCCTCGTCGTCGTCCTCGTCATCCTCGTCGCCGTCTTCACCACTAATCTCGTCGTCGTCATCCTCGCCGCCATCCTCGTCGCTGTCGTCGTCGTTCTCGTCGACGTCGTCGTCGTAGTTGCCTTCGTTCGTCGTCGCAGACGTCGTCGTAGTCGTAGTCGACCCCGAGGTCGTCATCGTGGTCGTAGTAGTCGTCCCCGCCCTCGTCCTCGTAGTCGTCGTCGTAGTCGTAGTCGACGTCGTCCTCGTCGTTGTCGTAGACGTCGTCTTCGTCCTCGTTGTCGTTCTAGACCTAGTCGTCGTCGTCTTCCTCCTCGTCGTCGTCCTCCTCCTTCTCATCATCGTCCTCGTCCTCGTCGTCGTCGACAACCTGTTCCTCGTCGTCCTCGTCCTCGTCCTCGACGTCGTTGTCGTCGCCCTTGTCCACGTCGTCGCCCTCGTCCCTGTCGTCGTCGTCATCGCCGTCGTCCTCGCCGTCGTCCTCGCCGTCGTCCTCGTCGTCCTCGTCGTCCTCGTCCTCGGCCTCGTCGCCTTCGTCGTCGTCGTCGGCGTCGCTCTCTACGTCCTCGTCGTCGTCCTCGTCGTCGTCCTCGTCGTCCTCGTCGTCGTCGTCCTCGCCGTCATCCTCATCGTCGACGTCCTCGTCGTCGTCCTCGTCGTCCTCGTCCTCGTCCTCGTCGTCGCTTCGCCGTCGTCCTCGTCGTCCTTGTCGTCCTCGTCGTCGTCGCCGCCATCGTCGTCGTCCTCGTCCTCGTCGTTGTCGTCCTCGTCGCCGTTGTCGTCGTCGTCGTCCTCGTCGTCGCCGTCGCCCTAGTCCTCGTCGTGATGCTGGTCGTCCTCGTCGTCGCTTCGCCGTCGTCCTCGTCCTCGTCGCTGTCGTCGTCGTCCTCGTTAACGACGTCGTCGACGTTGTCGTCGTCGTTGTCCTCGTCGTCGTCCTCGTCCTCCTCGTCGTCGTCTTCCTCCTCCTCCTCCGCCTCGTCATCGCCGTCGTCGTCGTCGTCCTCGTCCCCCTCGTCCTCATCGTCCTCGTCGTCGTCCTCGCCGTCGTCCTCGTCGTCGTCATCGTCCTCGCCCTCGTCCACTTCCTCCTCCTTGTCCTCGTCCTCGTTGTCGACGTCGCCGTAGACCTCGTCGTCGTTGTCGTCATTGTCCGCGTCGTCCTCGGCGTCATCGTCGTCCTCGCCGTCGTCCTCATCGTCTTCGTCGTCGTCCTGACTGTCGTCCTAGTCGTCGTCCTCGTCGTCCTCGTCCACGTCGTCGTCGTCGCCATCCTCGTCCTCGTCATCGTCGCCCTCGTCCTCGTCCATGTCGACGTCGTCGTCGTCGTCGTCGTCCCTGTCGTCGTCGTCCTCGCTGTCGTCGTCCTCGTCGTCCTCGAAGTCAGTCGTCCTCGTCCTCGTCCTCGTCGTCTTACTCGTCCTCGTTCTCGTCCTCCTCGTCGTCCTCGTCGTCCTCGTCCTCGTCGTCCTCGTCCTCCTCCTCCTTCTCCTCGTCATCGTCGTTGTCCTACTCGTCGTTGTCGTCGACGTTCTCGTCCTCGTCCTCGTCGTCGTCGTCCTCGCCCTCGTCCTCGTAGTCCTCGTCCTCGTCCTTGTCCTCGTCCTCGTCGTCGTCGTCCTCCCCCTCCTCTTCTTCATCGTTGTCGTCTCCCTCCTCGTGTTTGTATTCCCCGTCCTCGTCCTCGAAGTCGTCCTCCTCCTCGTCCTCGTCCTCGTCCTCGTCCGCGTCTTCGTCCTCGTCCTCGTCGTCGGCGTCGTCGTCGTCGTCCTCGTCGTCGCCCGCGGCGGCAGGCGGCGGGCCGCCGTCCTCCGCCTCGAACACTGCGGGGTCGTACGGAACGGCCGTCTGCCTCTCCAGGGCGTCGCCCGGCGACGCCTGGCAGGGCCGAGGTCCGGCGCTGAGGGCGAGCGAGAAGCGAGGGCCAGCAAAGGGCCGGCGCGGGACGTGAATGGCCGGGAAGGGCGTGCCGAGGGGCTTCCCAAGAGGCCCTCAAAGACACTCCCAGGAAACCGCCAGGGCCAAGAGGCCTCCTCCTCGTCCTCCTTCCACTTCCTTGGAGGCAGCGCCCAGAGGGAACCGCCACAGGTCCACGATGGGGCCCATCCGCGGGTGGCGCGAGTACCATTTCCGCCACCGCGGGGAGCACCAAGGGTCGCCTGCCGCGGATGGCGCGAGTACCACTTCCGCCATCGGGGGGGCGTGCCTCGCCGAGGGTGGCGAGCCCATACTCAGCCTCGGGGTCGCGTGCCTCGGGCGCCACCTCGTAGAGCACCTCCACCCACCCCAGTTGCCGAGGCTCGAGAGTAACGGAGGCGAGGAAGGAACGAACAACGAAGGCGCTCGAAGAGGGGCGCGTGATGCGACGCGATGCGATGCGACCACCGTTGCGGACAGCGCCCGGGCCTACTCAAGACCGGGTGGGCGAGGCCGTGGCCTCGGGAATCTGGCGTCTGGACAAGATGGAATGCGAGAGACGGAGAGAGGATGGTCCTTGGGGTCGGTCGTGTCAGCCTGTGCGGGAAGGGGGGAGGAAGAGGAGGAACTCCTTGGTGACGGCGTCGACGTGTGATGTCTCGCTGGGCGTTCGCGTCATTGGCTTCGGTTCTGGGTGTCTGCTGGTGCGGGGTCGACGTAGTGGTGCTCGAGCGCCGTCCATGTTTCGATGTCCTGTGCTGGTTGAATACATGTAATGTCGTTTGGTTCTCCTGTCGCGCAGGCAGGTCTGTGCGGTAAGTCGGTGAAGGTCTGGTCTGCGGTGTCGTAGACAACTGTTGATTTCGTCGTCCTCTGTCCTCGCTGCCGTAGTTTGAAGTCTGGTCGCCATTGCAACACTTGCTGTGTCCAACCTGTTTGGGCGTGGTTTGCGACTCTTGAATTCATTCGCCATAATTCTTTTCGCGTGTGAACCGTCTGCCAGTAGTCGTTGCGGTGGAGCTTCGTGAGGTATTATGCACGTCGTGTCGCTCGCTGTAAATACTCAACCCAGGGTTCCTCCAGGTCTGTTGTAGCGCTGATTTCGCCGTCTTCGCTGTGCACGTCAAGTGTGGCAGGTGTGTCGCGCCGGGGTGGGTTGCTGTCTGCGTCGTCGCGAATGCTGTTGTTGCAGTGGTCGTTGTTTGGTGCGTCATTGTATGGTGCTTCGTTGTCTGGTTCGTTGTCTGGCGGTCGCGGGCTGCTGTGAAGGTCAGTTTGCGTTGTCGTGCGTCGCCTCGGCGGTCCGATGATCATGCGAAGCATGCGTCGTTGTGTCAGTCGTAGGCGCCGCCGCGGGGGTTCCGCGAGTGCCCGCGCCTCTGCTCCGCATAGTGCTGTCGGTGTTACTGTGCTGTTGAGCAGGCGGAGTCCGTGAGCCAGTGGGTAGCACTTGCCAGTCAGCTTTTCTTTGCGGGACGCAAGCGAAGCCCATGCAGCTCCCGCGCGGCGCTGAATATCCGCGCCCATCGGTTCGTGAATGCAAATCAGTTGGCCGAGGTACTTCAAATTGACCTCGTATGGGGTGAATATTATTTTCACGTCTTGGACACGCGCCGTGCGTGAGCTCGCCTTTCCGATCCTTCCCGCCCGATTGCTAGGCATCGTGGTTTTGCCCGGGCGCAGTTCGAGCCCGCGCCATCTTCGCCCCGCGCGCCACGTCGTCAAGCATCGAGGTCTGACGCGGGAAAGCCTAGGTGGTCAATGGAACGTCGTCGGCGAAACGTAGATTGGTTAGCGTTGCACCGCGCGTGGATCCCACCCCAACCCCCTCCTTTCTTTGCTGCCAATCGGAGGCGGGCCAAGGATGCGTCGGAGAAGCGCGTTGACTAGTAGGGATTTTACTGGGCCACCCTGCTTCGTGCCCCGCAGAAGGTTGAAGGGTCTGCTGCTGGCGTCCTCACCTTGACAGTCAATCCCTCACATAACTACTGGAGAAGAGCAACGTATCCGGATTGGACTCGCCGAGCCTTCAGCGCTGCCCAAATGCTCTCGTGTTCAACTGATTCGAAAGCTTGTTTGACACCGAGAGCTGCGACCCGCACGTCCAGATCCCATTCGCTTGCTCGCTCGCGTAACACATGGCAAGTTAAAAAGCGGTCAGTTGTCCAATGACCTGGTCTGAGACCCGCCTGGTCGTCAGTCTGGTAGGCGTCAAAACGTTGGTTGGAATCTGTTGCATAGCAGTCGGCTGAACAACTTGCACAAAAGCGGCATCTCGCAAATCGGACGGTGATTTCCTGGAAGCGCGAAGTCTCCACCTTTGGGCATGACTGTGATGATTGCACTCTTCCCGCCTGCCAGCGGCGGGGCTTCGCGCTGCAAGATGGCGTTGTAGAGGTGAAGAAGTGAACGTCTGGGTTCCTCCGTGCCTTCTTTAAGCATTTCTGCGCGGACGTCTTTCGTGTCTGGGGCTTCACCAAGGTGGAGAACCTTAATTGCCTTGTGAATCTCTGTCGGCGTGAAGGGTGGGAGTCGGTGGGTCTGCAGGTCGGGGCGTGGTCTGCTGCTCTGATGGTCGGTCGTTCGTCCTGGCGCGTGGTCTGCTGGATTGCTGGTTTGCTGGTCGGTCTGCTGGTCGGTGGTCGGTTGGGTCGTCGTTCGGTCGCTGCGGTAGTCGAAGGGTCTGCTGGTCGCCGATCGTGCGTGGGTCTGCTGGTCTGCTAACCGTCGGTCGAAGGTCGGTCGGCTGCTCTGCCGGTCGGTCGGTCGGTCTGGCGCGTGGTCTGCTGGCGCGCTGGTCTGCTGGTTGGTCTGCTGCTCGGTGGTCGGTGGGGTCGTCGTTCGGTCGCTGCGGTGGTCGGTGGTCTGCTGGTCGCTGGTCGCGGATGGGCCTGCTGGCCTGCTGGTCGGCGTTCGGGGGTGGTCTGCTGGTTTGCTGGTCGGTCGGCCGCCCTGGCGCGCGGACTGCTGGTTTGCCAGTCTGCTGGTCCGTCTGCTGGTCGGCGGTCGGCGGGGACATCGTTTGGTCGCTGTCGTAGTCGGTGCTCTGCTGGTTGCTGGTCGCGGTGGGTCTGCTGGTCCGCTATCTGGCAGTCGGAGGTCGGTCTTCGGGTCTGCTGGTCGGTCGGTCGGCTGGCGCGCGGCCTGCTGGCGCGCTGCTCTGCCGGTCGGTCTGCTGACTGGTCTAAGTGGGGGAGAAAAGAGGAGGGGGGAAGGGAGGAGGAGGAGGAAGAGGAGGATGAAGAGTTGGTCGGTCAATTGGTCGTTGGTCGGCGGGGTCGGCGGCTTCGTCGTTTCGTCGCTCTGCCTCTGTCGTCTCTGCTGTCGCGTTGTGCAACTGCTCGTAGAACTCCGCGAAGACGTTCGCGATGTCATGCCGCGTCGTGCACTTGTTGCCCTCTTTGTCTGTCGCGCAGGCAATGGGGCTACGCTGCTTCCGAGCCCTGACGCGCGGGATATTCATGCGAGTTTTTGAGCTGCTCAAAACGGCCCGCTATGCGGGCCCGTCGCGTCGTCCGCTTCTGCGCGTGGATCTCTTGCTGCATAAGTTGACTTTGATGCCTGCGGGCGCGGCGGTCGTCATTTGGCGTCTGCTGTCGCTGTGCGATCAGACTCTCTTTTCGTGCTGCCTCTTGGTCGGGCTGTGGTTTGGCTTGCGGTTCGAGCGAAGTCGCTCCGCCCCTGCCGTTCCAAGTAGAATTCCCCGGGGCGCTGCTGGCGGTGCCGGCATCCAAGATGACTTCCTGGATGTGCTCGCTCAGCGCTTCTGGGTCGGAGGGCAGCATGTGCTGGTGAAGGTTCAGCCGTTGGTGGTCATGGTGTACTTGCGCGTTGGTGATCCCTCCCGTCTGGGATTTAGGCTGGAAGGCGCGGCGCCGGCGACGTCGTTTGCCATCGCGTCGTGGCCGCCTGGATATCATTGTCGCTGGACTGTGCAACTCGACAGTGATAGCCTTGCGGTCGGAGCCGAGGTCGGCCCTGTCGTTGGCCTCTGCGTTGGCGCAGTGCCGGGACAACGCGCGGTCCAGCAGCACGTAGTCGAGTTGCTCGCGCCTGTCGCCGCTGGTGCATGCGATTTGCTAGCGCACAGGCTTGCGAAAAAAAAGTATTTGCAATGACGAGCCTTTCTTGGGTTGCCCAAAGACGCAGCCAACCAAGTACCTCTCGAGTATTCGTCCCCATGTCCGTTGCGGACAACATACTTGGATGTGGTAGCATCGAAATTGTCGGCGTTGTCGTCTCCGTCTACGGGAATGATGGAAACTCCAACCTGTGCGTTGAAACCGCCTGCGAGTATCATACGATGTCGAGTCTTGGCGCTCTCTCTCTCTCTCTCTCTCTCTCTCTCTTTCTTTCTTTCTTTCTTTATTTCTTTATTTCTTTATTTCTTTATTTCTTTATTTCTTTATTTCTTTTTTCTCTCTCTCTCTCTCTCTCTCTCTCTCTCTCTCTCTCTCTTCGCAGCTCGTGGATCATGTCGCACATGCGCTGGACGCGCGGGTCGCTGTATCCTGAATGTGGAAAGTATGCCGTCACGGGTTGTAATCTCAATCGCCCTCCCTTCAACGACGCCGAGGCGAGTCTGGGCGAAAGCGCTTGGAACCACTGGATATGTTTGGTCCACCGTCGACGCATGATCAAAGCAACTCCACGGCACGTTTTGTCATTGCCAGATTCTGCGAAGGCGCGCCCTTCCGAAGTCGCCCGAAACTCCCCTGTCGTCGTTCTCCAAGTTTCGTTGATGAGGGCAAAGTCCCAGCGATCAGCTTTAAGCTCTTTGATTAATTCGCTGACGTGATCATATGCCGAAATTGACCGGGCGTTTGTTGTGAATGACTGTCACTCGTGTGCAGTCGTTCTGCTCTGTCTAGTGGTTATGGTTCGTGGTGGCTGCTGGTGGTGGTCGCTGGCAGGTTGCTGTCGATGCTTCTGGTTCGACGGTCGATGACTGTTGGTTGTGC